GATGAACTGGTTCGAGAGATCTCGAAAGAAGGCCACTCCAAGCACGAGCTCGCAGAACTCCAGCGTGAGAACTCCCGGCTCAGGAAGCTTAACATGCGCCTGCAAGAACAACTGCTTGAGCGTCTTTCAGTAAGAGGTACGCCCCAAGGAAAAGCTTTTGTCTTTTAATTATTTGGCATCACACATATGCTTCATTTAATGCAAGGGTGCAGGCAAGCTGGTTCACTACTGACGTTTTAGCCCCTGGAGAGCGGGGCAAAGAAGGGACGGATAACACAAATCTCAAAAAAGCATTACGTGCCTTTCACAGTGCTGGTTTGTGATATCTGTCCCCTCTTTTCTCCCCTCTACAGGGTTCAAATGTCACTATGCTTTAGTGCTGGATGCAGGTTAGACATTGCACAACAGTTGCTATAGATGAGAAAACTATGAGATTGCAGGTCAGAATAAAATGAAAAGTATTTTATTCTTTCCAAATAATGGAATAAAAAGCCTGGATAGTCCAGCTATGCCTCTCCCAGATTGGTTCTTTCACTTAGGTCAATGCTAAAAGTAAATTGTGGCGGTTTTCTATAGACGTTTGCAAATAGAGCTCTCTGGCCGCCGCCATTTTGCGAATCGAGCGACCTCTATCAGCCAGAAATATCTGCCACCCGCCTGAGCTGTGGAAACCCGGTCAGCGTGACTCCCCACCTGCATTGTGCATTCGGAGTTCGCCGGCCTTTCTTGAAAGCTTTTACTTTATTTGCCTGTTTAAGATGCTTAACCTTTGTGTGTTATCTTCCACTGCGAGAACCAGGGAAAAGCAGGGCTCGTAGCCTGCTCGGCCTTCGCAGGAAACGAACGAAGACAGCGAACGACAAGCGGCACGTGATGCATGCAGTTCGACGTTCTTGGCGGATTATTTCCGTTGAGATAATCTCCACAAAGCTTTCCTGGCTATATTTCGGGTCTGCGAAAAATAGCTGATAGGGTCGGGTCCGGGGTGTGGGGACGGAATAGACACGTTCGTTCATTTGCTTTGAAGCTGTGCAAAAAAGCAGCTCTCTTCTACACGTGCCCCAAAACACGCCGTATTCCGTCCGATCGTCGTGAATTGACTATTGTCGACACTGTATATTGGACATTCTGTGTTATTTGAGACCTTTCTCAAATCCTATTTGGATAACGCGGCACCGTGGGGTACACACAATATATGTTGTTCGATTGATGAGACTCGTTGAATTTCATGTTGTGGGCGGGGAATATCCATGCAGTTCGGATATCCTGTGCGGTTAAATATTTTCGACGGATAAGACCTTTGCAGATTGACACGGCTGAGTGTATGGTGCCATAAAAAGATAAACTTAAAATGAAACAAACATTCCAGTTGCATTTGTTTTGTCACGCACAAACTCACCAAAACATCTTTCATTTCATTGTTTTTGTTCCCAAAAATAGTACAGTGCATTCTTAAAAACTCCGAGAAATTCTATTCGCCATAGAACACAAAATAAAATATAATACAATACAAACAGAGCTGCCCATTGGATGCACAAATAGATCAAATTGACTAACACTACGCCATCCCACCTTCAACGCTGCAAAGTGTGCTGGTACGTTTTGGAGTTCTTTTGCACCACGACGGCTATGGATGACAGTGCGCTATTTGATTCGGACCACTCTTCACGCACCCTTAGTGTCTCAGCTTTCGAGTGGACCACTGATTATCTCACTTATGGGTCTATAACTGTAACGACCGGCCGCTTGATGACCTTCATACGATCATGTTCGTGCTGCTCTGAACTATGAGCTATTCTGATATGAAGTGCACTAAAACAGGCTTCTTGTTTCAAAAATTGCCTTTAAAGTTACAATGGCTCGTACGCTCTGTCTTACTCTTGCAGACTGTGAGTGCCACCAGCGTCGCACAGCACGGGCAACGGAACGGCATTGCCCACCCGAGGTGCCGCCGCCCCAGGATCTTTCTGACTGTGACCAAGAAGTGGAAGGTACAGTAAATCTCCTAAAAGGAAAATTTTAAATTATTATTTATAGCCGAGGCATTTTTTATTGTGGATATGTTTGTTTTGAAATCATTCCCATCAGCACTTAAGAGCTACGTTTGTGGCTGCTTAACGTAATAACCGGCACATTGAGCGAGTACGCTTAAACAAGGAGCTCACACTCGTTTTCGCTCTTCTCCATCAGAGGTTGTAGTGATGATCCTGTATGGAGTTGCCACATTTAATTTCTGAAAGGCTCTAGTGCAGCCAACTGTCGCCAATGGTGCACCAAGCAAGCTGCAGCGAGGCCTTGTTCTTCAGCAGCACGCATCCTCGACTTTGCTAGTATGACTGTTCCAATGGATATTCCTTGGTAATTATTTAAGATCTGTGTTTCATGTGTGTGACCGACTTTAGTTCCGATCAGACGCGAGTTGTTTTTGTACAGAGGTTCTTGGCGTCATTTCAGTGCCCCTTCCCAGGTGCGGAGTGAGGGGTTTTGAGGTGTGTAAGATGTGCGTGACGAATCCACTAGGGAAAAATGTACCCCTTGTTTTTGGGAAACCTAGTAAGGCTGAAGCCCGATATCATTTCTTCAGTTAGTGTGATTCTGTATCCATTAAGTTCACACTCTTGCGACCGAGAAAGACCAGACCGGTTTTTAAGCCTCTTGCGACTTCTTAGGACCAGCTCCGCTGCAGCGCATCCTCTCCTAAGAAGTCGCAAGAGGCTTAAAGGGGCCCACCAACAATTTTTTGACCGGTTTGAAGTTCGCGCTGAAACGGAGCTCCATGAAAGCAGGAACACCGAGGAAAAAAAATATTACAGAAATTTGCAATATCTTGCGAGTTATTAGCAAAATAAATATTGCAGAAAACAACTTTTAATAAGCAAAACATTGCGCTTCATGACGTAAAATGAAACAGTTCAGCGATTGGAGCAAAGCGGTTGGCCAATTGGACGCGAGTTTGGTTGATTGCCCGTCGGCCCCGTCGGCCCGGTTCGCTTGTCGGCCATTAGGCCTAGTTGCAACCATCGTAGCTTTGGGATCGGGTTGCCATCATCGATGAATTTACAGGGCTTATCGGATTTTGAGGGCGGATCTGGGCGTCGCGCCGTACGAGGACACTCCACGCAAGCGCCGCGTCTCTGTCTCAGTCCGCGTCGACAGCCGCGGAAGACTCGTCTCCCGCAACTCCGCCACCGGAGTTGCGGGAGACGGGCGAGTAGGAGGTACAAACTGGGGAGCTTCGCCGCACTTCACTCGAACAGTGAAAAGTCTGTCACATCACTAAAAGAAAATAAGGGTTCCCCTCGCTCCTCTTACTGCTTTTAGTTGACCGGGACCGGGGGCGCACAAGTGAAAATACGATGCACGTTGTCTGCACTGATCACTTGTCGTCTGCTCGCGATGGTACGTCGCGGACGCCGCTGGGAGGCGCGCATGAGCGACAAGGCGCAAGGCGTTGTTTTCGCCCTTTTTGAACTTTACTTTGCAACTTTATTAGCTCTGTAAGAATGACTTGTTTGAGAAATAATGACGGATAACGTGTGATATACTTTATTTCACTTCAAAATTCCTGGGACGGCTCTCGCCAATCACGAAACCCAGAGAATGTGACGTATAGTGAAAGGGAGCGCCGTTTTGCGCGCGCATTCGGCATCTCGCGGCGCCACCGTCGGAGGAGGTGTTTCCGAGTTGTCAAATTAAAATATGATGCGCTAATATTTTCAAACTCTTTCGTTGTCCATTGGGTTTCGGGGACCACTAGCGTGTAGAAACCGCAAAAAAAAGTCGACGCTCAAATACTGTTGGAGGGCCCCTTTAAAGACCGGTCTGGTCTCTCTCGGTCGTACTCGGTTGCAAGAGTGTGAACGAGCCTTTAGACTCCACTTTGAAATGACTCACTCATAATGCAATATGAAATTGTACAAAGCTTTGTATGTCATTTAGATCGGAAAAAGTTAAGCACATCAATCGTTTCATCATCGGTTCATTCTAAAGTTCAATCAAATGGAAGGATCACCTGCCCAATCTCATTGGATCTTTTTTTTTTCTTTTTTTAACATGACATGAGATTTTTCTAGAAGGATGAAGCGTGAACAAATGTATGGGAAAAAAATAATGGACCCTTCCTCTTGCAGTCTGTGAGCTTAACCAGCTCGTCGCAACACAGGAGGCACGCCGCTCACACGAGGCACGCCGCTCACACGAGGCACGCCGCTCACACGAGGCACGCCGCTCACACGAGGCACGCCGCTACCGCTGCCACCCAGCGCTTTTCCCAACAAGCTCGGGGACATGAAGGTACAGTAAATCTCAATCGCTTTTGAAAATGCAATTGAGTTGCTGCCACATAGCTTTCATCTATCCTTTCTCAGTTGCACACACCATGGCATCTTGTGGAAACTGCTTTAGTAGCAGCTTCTACAAATACGAAATTTAAAAGAGGAAATGGGACCCAGTTTTTCAGCCCGCATGATATGTTAACAGTCGAGTCCACTTATAATGATACCGTTTATAACAATATATCGGTTATAACGATGAATAACGATAGCACCGTCCACTTTTATATGCTTTCAATGGTAAAATAAACCGCTTATTACGATGCTCCAGGGCTGCGATATCAGATATAGCGATTGATTCCGGTTACAGCGCGCGCCAAAAATGCCAGCCACCGCTGGCTCTCCGCGGCATGCTGTGCCCCGCGCCACGCATCCCTTCCACCCCTCAGAAAACGACTCGACTGCGCCGCTTGCTAGGAAGGAAGCGAGAGGAGGAGCAGCTTTCCTTCCGAACTCCCCACCCGGAGCCGCCGCTTTGGCCTCGTCCGCGCGCCACTGGCGCACTGGGCGCACTGGCGCCACTCGCTTGCTCACTCGACTGTTGTGTGCTCACTGCTTAGATTATCTTTCTCCGACTTTGTTTTACGTTTCACTGCGGACGGGGCGTCATGGCCGATGTGCCTGCGGCGCATTCTACGCAAGATTGGGTCTGGACAACTTTCTTCATACAGACGATGTTGTGGAAACGTCCGAGTGCCTCAGTGATGAGGCGATTGTCGCGCGTGTACGTGCTGCTGACAGCGGTGAGACCGACGACTCCGACGACGCGGTTGAGGAGCCTATCCAGGTACTGTCATCGCAGGATGCCCAGCGGATGATACAGTCCCTCCGGGACTTTGTTTTCGCGAAGGACCTCCCGCTAACCTACGTGGAACATCTAGATGCTCTAGAAAAAGATGTGTGCCAGCTTCGCGTGAATCAATCAAAGCTGACATACTCTGGCTTTTCTGCAAACAAGTAGTTGCACTTGCACTACCTTACTTGCCTGCAAATAAAATGTTTTGATCTCTCTTTTGTCTTTTTTTTCTCAACCCGCTTATAACAATTATCGGTTATAGCGATGGTATTTTCTTGGCACTTGGATATCGTTATAAGTGGGCTCGACTGTAGAAGAATAAGGCGAAAAAAATGTATTATCTATGAACACTTAAAATTCAAACTTTTTTTGAAGTCTATTTTAAAATTGAAATTGCAAAAAAAGTGCTCTACACAGAATGAGCTCAGAGCCCTGGCAGTTTGAATGCATAAAAAAGGTAATCCTGACCTTATTAGTGAAAAAATCTGCAATTTGGTAAGCAATTTTTACTTTTCTAATTGCGTAAATTATGTCAATAAAGTTTGGTCGTAATTTACCCACCAATATTAGAAACATTTCTGTAAAACGACAGCCTGGTAGCTCCTTTCTAAGTGCCCAAAAAACAATAAATAAAATAAAGTTAAACTCCAGAAATGAAGATGGCAAGTGTGAGACTGCCGCATTACGTGGAGATTCGATTTAGTTTGCTAGGAAATATTTCCCTGTATTTTTGACCATTGACAGAGCTGCAACCTGCCATGGGACCTCCTGTATGCCGGGAGGAGGCCCCTGCCGTGGAGAGAGCAATTGGTGCAGTCACAGGAGACGGCAAGGTGAGAGCATCTAAAATTCAAGCAGCATGATGTGGGTTTGCTGACTGGAATCTTCCATAGTGCACTTCCTCTAGTAACTATCGGACAGATACCCCCATCTCTTCAGAGCGAACTCAGTGCAGAAAGCATGCAGGTGCAGCACTGATCTGACAAATGATAGGTGGTTGATTCTTCGAGAGATCGAACCTGCAGGTCCACTCAACATTTTTATTTTTTCCGTTTTTTTTTGTATGTGGCATTTTCACTACGAGTTAAAAAATGTTTCAAGATTGTGCGACGGCCGTGCTCCCACTGCGGACTGCATTAGTTGCCACCTTTGTGGTCCTGTGGAAGGCAGGCAAAGGGTAGTACGCCAAAAATGTTTCCTGTTTATGTCCACTGCACACCAAAGTTTATGTCCATTGCATGCAATTATTATGTGCTTTATGAATTAAAAAATTCACAACTTTAGACCAGGTACGACAAGTACTCATTTTCAGGCCTTCTACCCGAATATGTATGGCATTAGCGACTTTGAAAACTATACATAACATAGGCCAAGACATCTAAATTATTCCTGCAAAATATGAACTTCGAATAAAAATGGAAACATAAAAAAAAAAATTTTAGAAAAAAAAAACATTTTAGAAAAAAACTTGGGGTATATTGAAAAAACAAGCAAAAAAAAAACGGTCTCGATTTTTTTAGAACTTTGGGGTACAACTCTGCTTAGGCCAGGCAAAAAGAATGTACAAAAACATGTTGCATCATTTGCTTGGTACAAAAGTTCTGAGTGGTCAAATTGGCGGTTGCAAAGCGCCTTGACTCTGGCGTTTTTCGCTTTACCTCGCTGCTGGTATCTTTTTTTTTTGGAAAGAGTACAAAAAATTTTTGCCACAAATAAGAAATTTATTTGTTGTAGCTTGCTGTAATAAAAACTATTTTTCCAGAATTTTTGTTTTTAACTTTTTTTCTTGTGGTTGTTTCTTGTGGTTGTTTACGGGCACTCATAAAAGTTTGCGCTCCTTAATCGACACTTGGACTTCGCATGTCTCGTTTATTAAAACTGTAGGGAATAAAAGAACGACGCCTCAGGTACAAGGGTACGGGGCACTTGTGTTACGGCGAAGCCAAGGAGGCTTATTTACGTTTGCCAGTGAGGAATATAGGTGGTTCGCTGTCGCTGTCAGGAGTAAGATATGAGCTCACGTTTGCCATGGGGCAAACATACACATTTCCCTTGGCTCCGCTGTAACATCAGCGCCCCATACCCTCGTACCTGAGGCGTTGTGCCCTTATTCTCTACACTTCTAATAAACGAGATTCAAGCAGACTTCAGCCTAACTCCAGCACGAACAGTTGTCGATGCGCTACAACGACCTAAATATGATGGCTCATAAACGCCTCCTCCTTGAAGAATATTTAGAGAATCCACAACTTTGGGTGCATCAAGGTGGATTACTGTGACAGTTCAGCTAGACTCTTTTCGAATGCGCGGTGGCAGAGTTGGTGTTGGCGCGCCAGTGATGTCATCTGGACATTTGTGTGTTTGTGCATGTATGCCCAGGATAGGCACAGATGCAGAGCTTCACTGCACGTGAACTTTGACTCTGCCTGGTTCGTGGCCACTGGCGTTGGTCGTCAGCGGGGGAACTCGTCGGTCGCAACAGCATTGCGACCGACGAGTTGGGTCGCAATGCTGTTTTTGCCTGGCCTAAGGAGAGTTGTACCCCAAATTTTAACAAAAATCAAGACCATTCTTTTTTTTTTCAATATTAACATATTTTAAAATGTATTTTTTCAAAATAACTTTTTTCTATCTTTATATTTTTATCGGAAGTTCATATTTTGCAGGAATAATTTAGATGTCTGGCCTATATTATGTCTAGTTTTCAAAGTCGCTAAGGCCATCACATTGAGGTAGAAGGCCTGAAAGTTAGTGTATTTGTTGCACCTGGTCTAAAGTTATGAATGTTTTATATATTTCTTAATTCATAAAGCACATAATAATTGCATACAGTTGACTTAAACTTTGGTGTGTTACATGAAACAGAAAACATTTCTCACCTACCGCTCTTTGCCTGCCTTCCACAGGACCACAAAGGTGGCAACTAATGCAATCCGCGGTGAAAGCAAGGCTTCTGCACAATCTTGAAAAAAAATTTTTTTCTCGTATTGAAGACGCGTTTTGGAGAAAAAAAAGTTCAGTTTTGTGCGATGCATTTGTGTGTACATCACATATAAAAAAAAAACCACAAAAGATAAAAATGTTGAGTGAACATGCAGGTTCGATCTCATGGAATCACCCAGGTAACATATGTAACAATACACCATTGATCAAGCTTTTTTAAAACAACTCGCTACACCTGTTTGCTGAGTTGCTATACAGTCCGTGGATGGTGATCGGCGCGCCGCTGTGCAGCCATTGGTGAAAGTAAGTTAGAGAACTAACAAGCATAACTCGCAGGTGTAGCCCTGTCTGCTTACGCTTCATCATCGTCTTTTCCACCTTTGAACTAATCGTGGAAGCGACCAGCCTTGCGTATTATGCACAGTGAATGTGATTCATCATGAATGTCACCCCGGGAAGGAATGATATAGGTACTTCTCCACTTGAAAAAAGCCTGAAAAAAAAAACCCTGACACCTTGAGGTCGGCAGGTCTTATCTGAAGACAGACAACGGACAATAGTAAATTCATGGTACACGCCGTAACCTCTCGAATTCAATAACCTTTTCTTTCTTTTTCTGTTAGGCTTGCGGTTGCTGACCCGCCTCCAAAAATAACAAAACGGGCAACGAACAGACAAAAGTAAATTCCAGGTAGACACTGGGACACCTGTGGGTCACTAATCTTTTTTCTTCCTTGTGTTCATCAACTCCTGTTCATAGTAACGAGACAAAGTTGCCTGTATTTACCTATTCCATCCCCAAAGTGGCCGTCCATAGTCTGGACCTGCGAGTTTTCATATTAACGAGGAACAATTGCATGGCAAGCAACCACCAGTCCCAAACGTTTTGTCTACACTATCGGGGTCTATGTTAATGAGACATTACTTTATAAGGGGTCAATCCATAACCATAACTAAAAAGGGCTGCCTCGCTAAAATTAGGAAAATCTGAGCCATCAAGCCAATCGTGTGCTCTACGGCATGAGCTGCTGCTCCTAGCACACTGGCGCAACGCAGTGAACTTCGCTATGCTGGCACACGCTACTGCTGTGAAGCTTGACGCAGGCGACACGGCAAGGGTTCCCTATCTTACACCCATAGTACTCACGGATCCAGCAGAAAGAGAAAGAAAAAAGAGATAAACTTGCTTTTGCAAAAGTTAGACTCCTTCCCGAGCCGAGCCCAAGGTCATGCCCAGCTAGTCAAGACGCATGGTGCAGAGAGGCAAATTGAGGGAAATGGGTGGAAAACAAAGGGGGCTTTCACAACAGCCAGTCCATCTTTCCTTCTTTTTCTCCGATGCATGCATTCTGATGTCCTCGGTTTCCTTGCTTATACTAGCGACACTAGTTTATTTTTGCATGGAGTCCCAACAAGTTTGTGCACATTGGCAATTATGGCGTCGCTGCAAAGAAAGGTTTTGACTTGTAACTACAAGCTATTTCACGGTGTCCCAATTTGCTTTGACTGAAATTTGCACGTCGAACGTGCAGGCTACGTTGTCATTTTATTTATTTTTTATTTCCATAGAGGCCTGCATCGCTGTTCGGCATTATAGCAGGGGTGAGGACATAAGATCCATAAAATTCTAACAAAAAACATTGAAACACAAACAAACTTGTATAAACGTTAAACACGTCCCTCATTAGCCAACCTAATCCATTCTATAGTTTTGGGAGAAAAAAGGAAACGCAAAAACATCAGTCCGCCGCATCAACTGAATTTTCAGCTGATGATGATGGTGGTGGTGGTGATGCCATTGCCACAATGTCAGTGATCTTGCGAGCATCAAGCTAAAAAGTAGAGAAGGGCAAAATGCTAGGATCACAGATGCTATGATAAGACAAACAGGGTCTCCTGAGAATATCAGCTGGTTATCATATTAACCTTGCCTCTACGATGTAGCCCTTGCACCTAGCCACTCTCGTCAAGCATCACCGCTCTGCACGCGTGTGCAAGGAGCAGCAACTCATGTAGCCGAGCACCTGGGTTGGTGTAGTGGCTCGGAAATTTCTTTTTTTATAAATACCGTAAAATACGGGCAAGCGCCCACTCAAGATTTAGAGATAATCGCGAAAAAATGGGGGATGGGCGCTTGTCTGGTCATCAATTTTACATATCAATGTACTATGCATATTTTCTCAGATCTTACAAATTTTGGTATGGGCGCTTAGTGTGGTATGGGTGGTTGCACAGCATTCTACGGTAGGCTCTTCATTTGAGGAAACGGACGAAAAGAAGCTTGACTGCCGCTTGTTGTGTGAGAGTTGCTTCTTGTCTCATCGAAATGCTTCATAAGAGTGGTATCACTTGCTAAGATTTCCCAGATCATATTTGTCTTCCGCAGTCCCTCGAAAACGCACCAACAAGGTTTAACTGTATTTTCTTTCTTGGGCAGGTTCTTTAAACAAATCATGACACTCATGTTGTTATCTGCAGGTACATCTCTCGAACGAGGTGGCAATTTCGAAAAGCTCCTATGATACGCTCATGGCCCTCCAGAAGGACTCCCACTTCGTCAAGCGGGCAGCCGTAGCCATATGGTCCACCGAGGTGCTCGTTCAACGGAGCTTCACGGGAACGCTTTCCAATCGATGTATCGCAGGGGGAGGGGACAGGGTCCCACAGAAGCCGCTGACACCGCACAAGGTGGATGCACTCAAAAGTAAGCACATCATTTTTAAAAGTTCATTACAGGTGCTTTTCATATACCATGGAACCTACTTTTTAACATTCAAAGCAGCGAATACCCGTGACAATTTTTTTTCATTGCTCACCTGACACGGAGATAGGCAAAACCAATGCATTGGGGAGAATTCGTCTGCTAGCGGAGACTCCGAGCTCGCCAGGGGCACTGCGATCACTTTTTGCCCGCGATCCGCGGGAGTTGCCAGTATTGGCTTACATGGTATTTGATATGACGCTGGCGCGGATGCAGGCGGATGCGATTGCCTGCAGACGGAACATAAAACAAGGTACTCTTCGCGACTTTTTCAAGTCCAATTAGACTCAATAAAGCTAAGTTTTGTAATCTAAGGATGATTAAACTGCTTTATTATTCGGACGCTTTTTCGGTCTTTATGAAGTACAAAAATTGCTCGACGACTGTAATTAATATATCTCCGTTAAATAGGCCCTTAATTGCACAAGCAGTCTTATTCTTCGTGGCCGTCAATTCAGGCAAGCTAATATCCCCTAACGCAATTCGCTTTCTTTAATACTTTTTTCACTTAAGTGGAACGGCTTGTATGTAACATAAAGGGTGGTTGACACAGTCATGCCGAGCATAACCAAGTGCAGTGATGTGATTGCTGCGCCGATTGCGCCAAAATGCACCAAGGGGCTAACCCTGCTACATCCTGCTACATTTCGCCAAAATATGAGTAATCTGCGCCAAGCCTGCGCCGAAGGACAAATTTCGGTCACCTTTCAAAACCGGAACTAAACTGAGTACCGTAAATTAGCGCACGTGAGCTAGGTGGCGCGAGCGGCCGCCCGACACAAAGTACCCTGCATCAGTCGTTCGGTCTTGCGTGGTTTTTCCCGCTGTCTCTCGTTTCGCGCTATCGTTGTCTCGCGTTTTTTTTTTTTTAAATCAGCGATAGACATGTTTGTGTGCAGACGCTCCGAGGCTATAGCGTGCCGGGTACCATCCATGCCGTCATGCTTTGAAACAAAATTACGTTTTTGTGCGGCGGGAGTTGCTTTGAGAGCTGAGGTACTCGCTCCTGAAAGCAACAGCCGTGGGAAAACTATGTTTGTTCCCTGCCTGCTAGTCACCGTGGTCGCGCGACGTCAGGTGATGCCGTCCCCACGTCGCTGCAGTTATGGCGCTTTCTAAAAACAAACTATGTACCGCCACAAGTTCATCAATATTCATGTTCTTGTTTAAATCACGCATTACTACAAAAATCTATCTTTAGCTCAAAGACTGATGTGTCAAATATTGATTGCCTAGGTTTCTCTCGGTGAGCCTTCTTTCGGGAGGGACCCCGGTACGTGAAAAACCTGCCGCGAAAGAAAGTTGGTGAAAAAAAGTGAGCTAAAGCAAAGAAGGCAATGTCTGCACTGTGAACCCGCACAGCGCACTTGTTTGCCATGAGTTCAGAAGAACTTTTTGATCGTGGCTCGCGATGGCTTGCATCGATGTGCTCAGGTTCTTTTTTTTTCTCTGTGTTTAGCTTGTACCTCGCCTGATGGCCTGGCAAGCGCTGGACTGTTTTTTGTCGTATGCTGGACAGTTACATTTTGCAAACAATTTTGGGAATCACATGGCGACGGAGCAGAGTGGCATGGTTTCGATCGAAGAGCCATCTCCGCTCGCGCGACAATTTTGCATTGCATTGCAATCAGTTGGAGGCTGCTTTCGTTCATTCAATCAGTTGGAGACTGCTTTCATTCATTATAACTAGTCTACCTAAAACTGTGTTCTTTACTACTACGCTGGTCATTTTCAAATAAATTTTGATATGTGCAGTTTGGGTCGTATTTAACTATTATGGGTACATATATATGTATAATTTAACTGAAGCTTTGCAAAATATGTCATGTCATAGGCATTTCAGTTACATGTTGAAAGACTCCCAGGTGGTCTAACTTGACTATAATTTCTTTATTGCGGCGAGCAAAATGTCCTTCGTCTGTCCAGCACTTAAAACAATTATTTTTATTTTTTTCTAAGAATATCTGCTCCAAAATCCACTTTTGCTGTTCCCAAAACACTGTTTTAGCTGCTGCTAAAGCCACTTTTGCTGTTCCAAAACACTGTTTTGGCTGCTCCAAGGGCCACTTATGCTGCTCCAAAACACTGTTTTGGCTGCTCCAAAAGGTGCTCCAAGGCGGCTTAGGCCAATCACATCTCTGTGAGTGCGACCACGTCGGCTTACAACAAGATCTGCTATGCATCATCGGGGAAAAAGGGAAGCTCAAGGAGTCTCTACCCTGTCTTCACCGTCATCTGTGCGGCAGCAATATCTCCACTAGCTTATCAACATTGAGTCAACTTGTTGGGCATTTGCTCTGTCGGACTACAGAAGCAGTAGTAGAACAAGGGCGGCAACAACAACTTTTCTGCAATGTGACAGCATTCGGTCATCAAAATCAGAAAGAAACAATGGGCGCGTCTTCAGTCGAGGTCGCCGGTGCCCGTGTGGCTAAGTTGCAGTGCTCGCTGGATATGAGCTTTAAGTGCTTGTTGGGATGATTTGGTCTGCTAACTATGTTGCACAATGGGTGTCGCACTTTTTGTCATCAGTTAAGCTGAAAACTTCTGTTGGCATTGAACTAATGAGTGATTTTTTTCTCAAAATTTTACAGGCATTATGCCGAGGCAAAGGGCCTCTGCAAGGAGGAGATTTCAGGATCTATGAAGAATGTGCGGCTGTGGCTGTCGCAGAAGACATGTGAACTGAGGAGGCAGAGGGGTGCAGTGCAAGGACTGTCAAGTAATTGAAAAATCTCTAAGCGATAAAATCCACAGTGCATAAAGGAAAACAAAAACTGTGTTTGCACAATTTTACTCTTTTCACACAAATAGGGGCCCCTTTAATAATGTACATTTTAAAATTGGGCCCAAAAATCAACTCGAAAAACTAAACTAAGACTTTTTGGTGTAAGGTGGCTATCCTCACTTCCATAGACAACCTTTCTCGTGATCACATTTTCGTTTTACTTTTATGTTTTTAATTCTTAGCATCTGATTTCCGCGCGTGTACGGTTCTTTCTATGCATGGTCATTCCACGCCAAACGATCTAGCCTAAAATCGACCATTACGGATTCTGTTGTAAAAGTTTGCAGGCATTATGATTATATAAAAGAGCATTTCTCAACATATTTTGTGATATAAAATTGGTGCCACCTTGAATATTGTGTAAAATGCACCTTAGGGTATACAAGTTACTCTCTTTCCTGAAAATTTTCAAAACAAGGCTATCATTTAAACACAGTTTTAGCAAGTCAACGTGTCCCTACATAGTACGTTGAAATAGTTTTGATCGTGGCTTTTTAACTATCTGCGGTAGGGCAGCGGTGTTAAAAATTCCTTGAAATAGGGAGTTTTAGTAAACAGTTCCCATAAGCCCGATAACGATACCTCCTCTCCGACGGCCTTGAGCATGCGTTGTATTTTTATGGTATCGTTATCAGGCTCAAAAACAATCTGATGAAACTCCCTAATGATGCTATCCGCCATTTACTTCTCTGCAAGTGGGAAGGTCGTAATGCCTTAAAATTGCTTAAATTACTAGCACTTCACAAGAGGTCTTGATTAAAAGTTGTTTTGGTATATAATTTGTGTTAGTTTTCTCTTAAAATAATCATCAATATTGAAGGAATGGCAAAATGCTCAATATTCAGACTGATTAACTTGCAGAGGTGGTCGGTTTAAAATTATTAAAAATAATTACTTTATTGTTTTACATAGTTCAGAACCCAGACAAGAAATTACAGAATTTTAGAAAAATTGTTATTTCTGAAATTGAAGAAACAATTTCTAAACTTCGGTCCAATATGTGCCTCTTCCTTCAGCAGGGGCACGCACCATACATATATAGCGGGCCCTTAGCTAGTTTATATATATTTCAAGCCTTTGATATCTTGCAAATACGCTGTAGTATGCTTGAAATATGACTAACACATTCCTTGCAGTTTCGTAAAAACTGGACAATCAGTATGTTGCAAATGCATGTTTAGCCAATCACATGTTTAACCAATCACAGCTATTAGTTGCTCAGCAACTAATAGCTGTGATTGGTTGGTGGTAGGATGTTTAAGGATTAGGCACATTTATATAACTCCCTTTGTTTTCCAGAGACTGCATGCATGATTGGAGAAAACAAAACTGCTTTAAAACTGATGGCACATTTTTAAACGCCCTGAATGGAGAGCAGCGACTCCATTGGAGTTTCTGGTTGGTAACAAAGAATTACGCTGGGACTGTGATGGTGACTAGTTTGTAATATTTTGTTTCTTATTATGGAAGTATGTTCTATGAAACGTTCCATAGGCATGTAGCATACGATCTCCATTATTTTATCTGCGTGGTAAAATTTTCATCAACAAACCTTTTTAATATTCGGGAGGTAAATATGCTTGCGCATTAGAAATGGGGGTACTTTAGAATCGTGCAAACACTGTACATAAGCAGAAAAAAGACACATAAAATAATGTACCGAGTTATTTCCTGTCTTTTTGCTGCTCGTGTATTTGTTTTCTTTTACGCACTGTAGGTTTTATCAACTTGCCCAAGCCATCATCTGATTCATCCAAGTGTTCTGGCCAAAACGCCATGAAAGAGCCATGGACAGCCCTGTGTGCAAAGGAATGTGCACGAGTGTTGCGTGTTGCAAAGAAAATAAAATAGTAAGTTTCATTCTTTTTACCGTCTTTGTAATTTTGTTTCATGGCAGAATGAACACCTAAACCTTTGAAAATAGGCGTTCCTTTTGCACGATTTGCTAGCTGTTGTCAGCAGCAGTCCTTTCTACATCTAAATCATACCGTGCATGCATGACCGGGTCACCCCAGAGGACACTAGATCAGCCGGGTCACATTAGAACACACTTGGCAAGACACGTAACATGCCTCGACACCAGAACACTCCAAGACACCAGAGCACACCAGACCACGCCAAGACACCAGAACACGCCAAGACAATAGAACACACCAAGGCATCAGAACACGCCAAGACCCGTGTCTGAATTTCCGCTCTGATGTAAACGTCAGAAACACACCAGAACCGGGCTGGTGGATTTTTCAATAGGGTGCCATAAAATAGCCGTGGATCTAGTACACTTTACCGTGGGTGATATTTCGTGCATGATTGAAGTTGCTCGACGAAGCAGATTCTTGAAACTCGGTGTGAACGGTAGCCCTATATTTGAGGAACCGGCGAAACTTCTACGAAAGCGCAGCACCGAGAAAAAGCAGCGTAGCTCACATTGAAGGCAGACGCCGTACCGGCGTCTGCTTTTGAGGTTTCTATCAATGCGACTTTCGACGCGTGCTGTGCTGCTTCTCTCCGGTGCTGCGATTTGGTGAAACTTTCACCGGGTCCTCAAAGATCGAGCTACCGTTCACGCCAGGTTTTAACATTATGTTTTGTCAAACAATTTCAATGAAGAACGGAATATAAACTACCACTATTTTTGACACAGCGCTGTCTGCCATAGATGGATGGTAGTGGCTGCATCAGCTGTACATTGGCTAGCGGTAATATAACTCTACCAAAAAGTTGGCCGGCAGTGGCCGCATTCGCGGAGCGGGCAAACGCGGTCCAGCAAATAGACGTAGATATCAGTGACTAGACCTGAGAGGTGCGCCAAGCGCCGCTCGCTCCCGCACGCCTCTATCGGACGCAACACACCGATTGGTACCTCCTGATGGGCCCGTGACGCGAGACATTCCAACAAAGCTGTGACCTCAACTACCAGGTGGTATTAGAAAATTGTTTTATTTGTTTTTAAATTGCTTTTCTTGCATTTACAGACGAAAGACGGCTGTTTGTGAGCTGCTGTCATGAAGCAGTCCATGTCTACACAAAGAAATAGGCGCTAAAATTTTGCTTCCGTACCCCATTAAAGAAGAACAAAAAACTACTACTTTCCCATTCTTAATATTTTTTTTAACGGTAGCTATAGGGAGACTACAATAATAAAAATACCCGAACATGACACTCATCTTTCGATACACACAAGGAGTCAATGAAAAATGATATTGAAAAACTTCATATCCAAAGAAAGTTAGTCATATTTTAGATAGTTACAGTCAGAGGAAAATATCGGCTTAACGGCTGCTGTAGAGGTCACAGGCATTTAAGATACCAATGTTTTCTTAGAAGAAAACCCGAAACAGGAACAATTAATTTCACAGCACGGCGATCCACCGAAAGCACCCGTCTTGAACGGAGGAGATGCTAGCTCCTCGGCGTACGGGCAGCCGTCGATGAAGCTTTGTGTCGCGAGCTGGTGCACGCTGGTTCTTCGACATAGGGTTTCGAGCGAGGAGGCCAATGAAGACAGGGGCCGTCTTGTAAACACCAACTTCTTGAGAGGCCAGAGCTAGGTGGCCATCTTGTGCGCTGACTATATTCCATCATACATCAATCTTTCGCCACGTGATCACGCACCCGCTCATTCCCACACACCAAGGACTGAGTCAGGCGATGAAAGGGAGGCGGCTCATTGGTTCGGGGGGCTCGTAGTTCCCATTGCAGTCTCAGCCCAGAGCCGTGTATAGGGAAAGTTTGGTCAATGGGAGGCGCGGGCAGAGCCTGGGCGTGTACCAGAAGCAGAAAGTGGGCTTGACATTCTCTCTTGGCCAACCAGAAGCCTAAAAGAATCCCTAGCGGTAGTAGCAAGAAACTGTTTCAATCATAGGTATATGTTGGTGTATGGTTTTAATAAGCACGTAAGTGTGAAGTGTAGTGAGCCTTCATGGCCGAAAATAGGGTGCACGCGATGTTACGATCATGATCATGCAGAAAAATGTAAGAAACAAATGTGCCGCTAACTTTTTTCTGCTCATGGAGAGTGTGGCTGCTCGGACTGTAGATTCCCGGTCCGCGGCACACGGATTATGTCGATCGTTCCGGCAGTGGCACTCTTCCACCATAATTTCAGTTGACCGTGTTTGAAACATCACGTGCACCATATTTTCAGTCACCGAGAGTTACTCCTACGCACATATTAATTTTGTTTCTCGTGACCACTGCCAGGGTATTATTTCCAGCCTCTGATTGGCTACATTCGAATTTGTGAACACGCCCTGGAACACGCCCAGCCCGCTTTCGGCCAATGGCACCTCCTCATGTGTCTCCTAATCTTCCCAACGAATTGCCAAACTTTTTACATATATGGCTCTGTCTCAGCTTGGGGGTGAACGGAGTATAGAGCAGCATGTTTCAATGCAATGAAATTCCATTAACTTTAAAACCGGGTACAGCAGAACGACCGGCCAAGGGGAAAATATCAGAAGATTTGAAAGGCCACGTCTTGGAAGACAGATTGGTAAACTGAACGATCACGATCGTCGGAACACTGTGAAGAACATGAGGGGCTTATTTACTGTCCTGAAAGAACTGAAGGAACACAAGTGTTGGAACACTGCAAAAGACCTCCGAAGCTGCCCTAAAAAAAACTGAAAGAGCACGAGCACAAAAACGTTGCGAAAAACCGCAGGGGCTCTTTTGGTACCCAGAAACGAGTTAAACAGTCGAAAAAATGGGAGGGGCTGACAGGCTTGGCCGATGCACCAAAATATAGCGGTATCTCACGCGCCGCACTGTAGTGATCCTCTGGTAGAGACGCGACGATGGTGGTGGTTCGAAGATCCGGCTGCTACTTGGCAGCAGGAGACATCCAGGAACGGCCGGTAGAGCGGCAGCGCTATGGGGTGCCCCGACGGGTGACGAGGCAGAGGTGAATGACTTTT